ATTCTAGAATGAAAATTGCGAGATCCATGGGGAATTCAAATCATACAGATCGACAGAAGATCCACGGGGACTTCAAATCATACAACATTTTGTTAAGCAGGGACTTTCAGCCAAATGTTGTGATTTTAGGTCCACTAAAATTGTTCCAGCAGAGGATAGTCTTACTGCAATAGCATCTGGACTCTAGATATCACACCAAAGACTGTTTGTGCTTTGAGTACGTCCCAACAGTCCGGTTAGATATTTACAGTTTCGGGGCTATGCCCTTCGGTCTCATTAGATCCAAAGCTGGTTATGTTATTCTTGACGAGTTGGATGATAACAAATGTACTCTAGAAACGAGGAGGTTTATTGATTGCTACTTTTAGAATTCTTTGCACCTTTCTTACTGATATGCACATATCCGTTTTCTATTTGTGTATGCCGATCTGCAGTACCTTTTTTAGGCCGAGAACCAGACTACGGAGGACCACGGTGGCAAGGGCAGTGAAGAGGACAGTGACATCGATGGCATGCAGTACTGAAGCTTGGAGATGGCTTGCTGAAAGCTCGCCTGCTGCACCTTCTTTTGTCTTGTACCTCTGACTATGCGGATCCATTTTGAAGATGTGGAGATGGCTAGATGTCTGCTGCCCTACAACACTTTCTTTTGTTATTTGACTATGATGTGGTTCTCATTTTGGAGATGACAAGATGGCTTGCTGGCTGCTCCACTTCATGGCTTTGAAAGTCTGAATCTAGATGCTAGTAAAGTACTAGTATTAGTTTAGCTTAGTTAGACCGTGCTGATGTTATGTACTCCTCTTTTGCAAATAATTTAGTCTATGCATCAGTGTGACATGTTCTCGACGCTGACGATGAGAACGTGGCAAACTTTTAGGCCTGAGGCTTGTGATTTGTAAGTATGTGGTATATTTGTTAACTCATTAATGGTTAAACTATTGAACTTTTGCTATTACGTGCGTTTCGATTCATGGGTGATGCTGGTGTTGGACCTAACACAACACGATCACGTATGGGTGAGCGTTTTCCCGTTCTATAGGGCGGACCGACAGAGGGACTTGGATGCACTGCCTCGCTCACTTTGCGTCACCTCCGATCCTGAACACAAATCAATTGACTGCATTAGGAGCCAGCAGCGGTCATGATCAACTTAAGGCCCTAGCAGGCAGCAGCGGCCATGATCAACTTAGGGCCTTAGAAAATGCTTTTGCCATGCACTTGTTGCTCACCGTGCGAGCGTCATCAAGAGCCAGCAGCGACGAGGCCGAGCCAACAGTGATGAGGACGAGGACGAGGCCTGATCCCTTGATCGATCGATGTGTGCGATAGACATCGGGAGTTGCAGGTCTAGGCCCTTTTGCTATATCTAAAGCCCACTAAGCTGAGGTGTTTCCTACATCAGCATATTACAATGACACTAGAAATTATTGCAACCAAACACATCTGTGGTAATATCAACATGTTATTGCATCGCTTTAGATATTTAGTTGCAATAAACAGCTATCTATTGCCATGGTCGTGAGAAATATTACAACCAACAAAAATTGTGGCAATAGCAACAAATTATTGTATTGCCTTGAAAATTTACTTGCAATACACGGTCTATCTACTGCAATGGTCGCGAGAAATAACCCAACAACACTGTGGCAATAATTTCAAGCAATAGCAACACTATTCTATATGGTTGCAAGAGCAACAGAAAGTTGCAACGCCAATCAATGCTAATGCAACACAATGTCATCATGGCAATATTTTAAATGGGTGCGGGGCTGGCTGGGCCGGCCGATGGTGCTGGCCTTTTTTCTCCTTTCTATTTCTCCTCTATTCCTTTCCTTTTCTATTTCTATACATGTATACCACCTTAGTGGGGTCCACCTAGGTCAACACTAAGGTTTAGGTCAAGCCAAGGCCTTGGGCCCACACACAACAAGCATTTATTTAAAAAGGGGTGCTCAAGTTTTATTAACAATCATAAGATCAAAAGAAGCAACTCACATGTTTGAGTTAATGCAATGCTCACACATCTAGTTTAGGATCTACTTGTGCAACTAGGGTGGCTTTCTAGCATGCATCACTCACCAAACAAAGGGCTTTTAGAAAAAAAAAATTTGAAAGTTGGGATTTTTGGGTTCTGGGATTTTTGGGTTGTTACAGCAGCCACCATAGCAAGAGAGCACTAACAATGAGGCGACAAAGTCAGACGCAGAGGAGGAACAGGAGTGGGAAGAGCAGCAACAAGGTGAGGGTGAGCAGCAGGGAGGGGATGGTCAGGGACAGCAGGAGGACAATAACACAAAATATTATGTGATTGACATGGACTTAGAGGTGGAGAGTAGGGAGGGGAGACCCAGACACTTCAATGAGGTGATCTTGACACTTTAGTTTGGCCTTGAGCGGTCAATGACACAACCTCACTTCCACAACCTGGCGTAGCAGGAGCTTTTCTACGGGCACTTTGACTTCAGGCCTATTCACATAACCAAGTACATTGATTGGGCATGGATTGAGAGGCTTGAGCAAGTGGCACCGATAGCTCAGATGTTCCATACGATTGGGTTGAGGTCAGTGATGAAGTTCTAGTGCGCCTGGAAAGAAACCATCATGAGGCAGTTCTATGCTACCGTGGAGATCGATGTTGAAGCAAAGAGGTTCACTTTGATGAATAGGGATAGGAGGTACACTTCCACGTTTAGGGAGTTCGCAACAACGATCAACCTGAACTATGACCTGATGTAGACGGGGCTATCGTCATGTTTGATTTCGTCCCTAGAGGAGCATGAGATTGCATCCATGTATGCGCTAGGAGAATTTTCTATGCTACTGGTGCTTGCGCACACCAAGAGTATACTCTGAGGGGCTTGCAATCTTGCGAGATTACACCAACTTATTTTGTGTGTGGCCACCGATGGCGTACTAAGAGAAATGAGCAACTTATTTGTGTGTGGGCGCCGATGGTGTACTAAGAGAAATGAGGCCCATGGTGTTTTGGTCAAAAGGTTGATAGTGGAGACAGTGGGAAACAGTTTGGGAAATGCCACAAGAAGACCCACTTGCGTGTGGCATAGACTTGTGGACTATCCACGAAATTACCCTGACCTGGAAGTTGGCCCTTAAGAGGGCATCTTTCCGAATGACTCCGACGAGGACTAGAGAAGTGTGAGCTTCTTGATATCTCAGGAAAAATTATTATCGCGGGAATTTGCATTCTCTCACTTAATTATGTTTTCACACTTAATTGCACTCCTTAGGTCGTCTGCTTACATTTCCTAGTTTAGCTTGCTAGGTTAGTTAATAGGATTGGAATTAAGGATGCAAAATTCTTTTGCATTAGAGATAGTAACACTTAGCAAAACTATAGTGCAAATTTATATAGTATCTTGTATAGATTTTGATAAGTAGGTTTTAGAGATCTGTAGATTTTAAGTTGCCTAATTCATCTCTCTATTAGACGTCATGGTCCCTGCATAACATAAACTGAACATGTAGCAAACACAAGATATAAATAGTTCACCTCTGCTACCATAGGTCATGACTAGGTATTGCGGCCATAATTGTCATTTAGGTGATACTCCCAAGCACATAAGGGCATTATTTCTCACGCAAATCATCTCATGTTTATTCACAAGTGGTGACCCAACAAAAGCGATGTCTTCAGAATGCAGTTTGATCCCACAAGAGAGGTAATTATGTCAATAATAATTCCACTATAAAAGTGCGAGTTTTTTTAGGGGCTCTCCCTCTACAATACCCATCCGATCTAGGCATAATTGTATCTGAGCCTCTCTTCATCTATGTAAGATGTAGATCATTAAGATGTCCTACACCCTCACGCCTCGAACATGACATCTCTAGCCAGATTTGAGTTCGTTGAAGATCAAATATGTAACTGACTATAGTCTAATCTAATCTAAACGTGCCTGGTTGCTCGGCCGAGGGGCCAATGGCTGGTCTACACACCTTATAAATAGCTGAGACCCTGAGAGGTACGGTGTTTGGTTTTTTATAAAATAGCCGACGAGACCTTGAGAGGTACAAGATTTTTTTGATTCACGCGCACCTAGCAGAAGCTCACACCGCGGTCGGGCTGCTGCAGCCTCACATCGCCAATATGAGAATGAATGGATATTCATGGAGTTTGAATCTCATTTATGCTAATTATTTAGTCTTTCTAATACAATGTTCATTGTGCATAGATGCTTTCCGATAGACACGTGCGCACTGCACGTACATATTTGCTAGTAATCTCAAAAGCTCGAAGACTTCGCTGCCGCTTCGGTGTGATTGTCTTTCTGCTCAGCTCATCAACTAGAAATTCAGGTCTAGGATCCAGCATAATCTTCTGTCCCTCTGTCAATATATAGCTACATGGGTGGTTCCTCTGGACAATAAACTCTATTCTTTTCTAATACACTGAAAGATATACCAATAATTGAGACATAAGGTTCATGGAGTTTAATGCAGTTAAGATAGCATTTTTTTATTAATTATTAAGCTGCTAAAGCATATAAAACATAGTTAAAAATTTGCCTGGAACTGAACCATCTATTTTGTGCTTAGTTTGGGTCATAAATGATGAGACCTTTTGATTATTTGCAGGCATGCATTCACAAGGCAAATCAACGGCACTATACAGAATACAAAACAAACTGATCCAGTGAGACTAGCTCACAATCATGAATCAGTCTGATTAAGCTGAATGCAATAACATATATGCAGAATTATTTTATGATTTATAACAGAAGTTAACAAGTGGTAAACACAAGCCACAAGCCAAGATAAACTATGTCCTGTATTACTCCCCATGCCAATAATATGCACACGGGGCACATTATCCTTTTAGAGTTCCTGAACCCCTATAGCTCAGATTACGTGCTAATACCATAATAAGATAATGTCTAAGCATTAGTATCACATATGCATTATATATGTGTCACAGAAAATAGTTTAAGTCGCAAAGGCATTGTTCCTTCCCAAGTCCATCAAAGGTCTATCCGTGTCTAACCGTCATTGGATGACCCGATGATGGTGACATCTGCCTTCAGCATACAGTTTGATCCCACAATATAGCAGCTAAATGGATCCATGAGTGTCTTGAGTGGAATGAAGTTGGACCATCCCCAGCCAATCTTTGCTGCAACTCCAAACACGAAGCGGCCTGCGTTTGCGGCAAAGTAAGGTCGTATCCAAACAAAAGTAGCCACTAGTCAATAGTAATGTTGATAGATATTATGGAGAGTTGAACCTGTAACTGTGTAGTGCCCCTCATGCTTCTGGTCCAAGATGGAGAGAGTCAGTTCAATCACCATCCCAGTCTCAAGAGGGATCTTGTTCAGATCATGCAGGTGTAAGTAGAGGGAAAGTGAATTGGTGCTGTATTGGTCACCAAGTGGGTACATGTTGATGTACCTGAGAAGGAATGAACACAATCTGTCATTACCATTAATGCTTGACAGGTAAGAAAAGAAAAGAAGAAAGTATGATGCTAGGCTCCTTGGAAGGTGATGCTGTTGGCGGACTTGTGCCTAAGCCAAGTGACAGTTAAACAAAATTAAGCTTCCAGAAACAATAGATTTAATAGACTGGAATATAAATGGCTGTTCAAAACATACTAGTACTAGTGCTGTTCAAAACATACCAGTACTAGTGTTAGGCTCCATACATAGAGATAACACTACAATTTAACTAGAATACAAAAGACTCCCATTATCTCAAAATACAAGGCGTGGTTTGACTTGGTACAACCATTAAAGATCACATTTTTGCTGCTATTTTTTTTATAGTATATCATTTGCGGCAACAAAAGCTTAATCATTAGAAAGTACTAGCAAATATAACCGTGATTTGTAATGGAACATTCAGCTTGTTTCAGGGTCACCTAGAAGACTTACGACTAGGAGATTTATGCAACTATCGCATCATCTAATCCAATACATCTTGGAGTTGGACTCCATACTGTGGCTAGACGTGTGTTGTTAACTCGTATGAGCACATGTCGTAAGTTTAGGTCATGGACAAAGAAGAGAGGTGCACGAGGGCATTGTAGAAAGTAAAATATGATGGACCGAAGAATCCACTTTGATTTTAAAATTAATTATGATCTATAGATTTCTAAATATGAATCCAGTGTAACCACTTTTGTAGTACACACTTTTCACATGTTTGACTAATTTTTTGTCAAAGATAACAAAGTTCAAGTCTTGAAATATGTGCACGCGTTATATTTCAGGATAAAGGAGTAGTGAAAATATCTAAAGGAGCAAGAGAGATTCTGTTGCAAAAAGAAACCCACACATGATTATATAGTATACAACATTCACTAGCACTCCCTCCATTTCAAATTATAAGTCATTCTGGCTTTTCTAGGTACATTATTTTTGCTATGGACCTAGATATAAGCTATGTCTAGATACATAATAAAGGGTAAGCTATGTATCTAGAAAAGCCAGAATGACTTTATAATTTGGAAGGGGGAGAGTAAGTAATAATAAGTAATAATGTTGGTGGCATGAATAACTTTTTTTTAAGAACCAGCATGAATAACTATTACCACCACCTGAATGGAAGGATACTTGCACACTGAATGATTAATGCCATATGCATATTATATGAACCAAATACACTGGAACAAAAATAGATGCATACCATTTATGCCGACCAGCTTCAAATGCAGGAGAACAGACTGGGACCTTCATGTCAAGGAAGTTGTTCATGGTCCAGGTGTAGGTTCCTTTGATGAACCCCTTTTTCTGGAGGAAGATGTTCTGAACTGTGATAGGCTTCTTTGGAATCACAATAGGCTTATTCTGAGAAGAGACATGTGCCTTTAATATCCTCACACCAAAGACACAGCTATCATCAACCAGAAAATCAGATGATTTCAGTAGTTCTTCAAGAGGAATCAAGCATTCTTTCTCTGATCGCTTGTTCTTGATATTGAAGTGGTAGCTAGCTGCTCATAGATAAAGGAAATATAACAGTATTAGAAATATGCGTTGAAGATTAGGTACTCGTATGAATCTGTAATCTACAAATTACCCAAGCATAATGCAATCTGTTTCCACTCCTAGTTAATTATTTTAATTATTTTAAAAAGTAGATAAACAGGTATGCAGGGCTAGCTTTTTGTGAACTGCAACTACAGAATGACCAAAATAGTAACAGCAGCATGTCTATTTACTCTGAAATATTGATCAAATAAGTAGACAATATGAAGTGAACGAAATAGTGAGAAAATCTAAAAGATAATGTGGTGAGTATTTGACCATATATCAAATTCCATACCAATTGAGTTGCAAGGGTAAATTATAATATGATGCTCAGTAGTTTCAGTTTCAGGGAGCTATGGCCGAAGCAAATAGAGCATGGATAAGGACTCCCATTTGTAATAATATGTTTGGGCTTGACATAATTTCAGAAACTACCTTTGCATCCATGATATGTCCCTTTTGAATGGTTGTACATTGACAACTCGAACACAGCGCTCAAGATGTCACCTGCCTTTAAGTCGTTTTGGTGCACCGAGAGCAAAAGAGCAATATGTGGAGTCTTGTGACCAGATTTTTTATGCATTGGGCTCACTTGCAGGAACCTGTTAAATGAATTAATGAGCAGATATGTTACTCAGATTAGTAATCAATGCTGAAGAAAACAAAAGGCTTTTCTTGAGGACTGTGAAGGGGAGTTTGAAATTTTACAGCCATGAGGTTTACATTTACTAAAACATCATTTGTGACTACCTGACAGTCTAATTAATATTTTTGACAGACAACTATGTTATCTTCCCAAATAAACTAGATAAGATTTTGAGTGTGTGCATGGTGCCTGCTTAATATGGATTCATTTCGAGTATGGTACATACCAACCATATCCACAACAGCGAAAAATGGCAGAATTGGTTGATACAGCCCCCCTATCAAGTAGAGCTGAGAAGCCATAGAACTTCCATTTGAAAGCTGGATCATGGGTCTTTCCCAGCAGTGCAGGAGCTGAAATCGTTACAAGAACAATCACACAAAATTTGAGAAAGGCAAAGGGAAAATGTAGAGATTACATGCTATGAGGAGATTAGGGAGCATGCTAGTTCAAAATAATAAACTCCAAAATAGAAAGTTTAAGAAAGGAAATGGCAGACAGAAGAATAGTTCTGTATAGAAAATAATATTGCATTCACCTTCGAACTGTCTGGATCAAAATATATAACACAACCGTGATAATTGGTTACTTGGCCAAACAAAAATAATGATCTATGTGCTTTTGCATAGCTTACCACATAATACACACACTACTCTTTCTGCACAATCAATAGATAAATAGATATCTTAGAAAGTTAAGCATTTTCATATATTTCCAAAATAAATCTTCTAGGCAATAGCACACGCACATGCCATTGTTCATAGTATTCTACGCATTGTAACATTGATAACGCAAAATCATAGTAGTGGTAGGTGGCAGCGGTGTCATTAAGACCTAAAGTATCTGTTATGTTTTTTTTCCGTGCATCAAACAAAAAAAAGAAGAATTTTTTGGAGAGCAAGGGTTCCAGTTTTGCTCAACTATATATTCAAGGGATTATCTCAATTTCTTTTCCTGACAGAAGGATTATCTCAATTTCATCGAAAACAAGTCATATGAGGAGGCATCTGAATCTAAAACACAAATCAACCAAAAGAACTATGATGAAGTATTGACCTTTCAAAAAAAAAAGATCAACGTTCTAGCAGAATAATTCAATCGACAAGCAAAGGAAGCTCAATTGGATCCTTACAGGCACCAGTGACGCAAGAGTTGCCCATGGCTGTTCCAACTCCTCTGCTCAGAAATCCTCTGCAGGTGAAATCAATCGCCGTGCCGTAAGCAAAAAGTGCAGAGTTAAGAATCAAGAGCAAACAGTGGTTATAGGTAAAACTCCCATCCTACAAACAAACAGATAGATCAAAACTTTATAAGAAACAAACTTTACTCTGGAGAACGAACAAACCGCTCCCCTCCTATTGCCACGGAAGCTACGAACTTGCGTTGCCGAAAACACAAACAACCCGCGGACACTAGATCGGGCTACTTCAGAAAGCGATCAAGTCCCTTCCTTTCAATTCCCCTCGATGTACTTTTTACGAACCTGATGGCAGAAGAAGATAAACCAAAAGAGCAGACTTTACTACGGATCGGGAGACGACTCGAAGAGAGAGAGGGGATCGGCGAGAGACTGAGCACACGCACCTCGTCACCTCGCAATGCTTTCCGCGGCGGGTGAAACCCTTGGCCGCAGTGGCGAGGGGGTTTTGGAGGCGTGCAGGGGCAAGGGGGAGAGAGCTTTGCCTTTTTAAGACTCTCACCAACTGCCGCAACCCAAAATACAGGACCTCTTCATCATTTGGGTAGTTTAATACTTTTTTTTTCTCCAACAATAAAACTCAAAAAATAACATTTTTTATAAATAGGGCTTCAGGAGAGATGATACTCAGATTTAGCTTATGCCTCTCTTAGCACCCAAAATAAGTCTTTCATATAAGTACTCTGTTGGAGACTATAGGTATTGTGTTGGAGATCCATTTTGGATTTGGGTTTCGCAATGGGTCTCATGATGGAGACAGTCTAACACAGAGAAGCAAAACGATCGTGAACAGAAAAGGGGCAAAACTGGCATTTCAGCGTGTACTGTTGGCTAAGTTTTATTGAATGTACTACTTCGTATAAAAGATGTAATTATCATGTTTAGAGGATAAATTAGTGAACAACTAAGGTTGTATATGTCTATTCTTCCATCATGTAAACTAGTTTACAAAAGTTTATTGTTAAAAGGTTATTTATAAAATCTTGGTTCATGGATGTTTGGATCCCTAGATAGTAAAAGCTTGAATGAGATGCTTTTGAAAGTAAAATGTCCAAAGTACCCTTACTCTTTAGCTGTAGAGTGCAACTAGGAGAAAAACAGAAGGACAAGATGATTTTTTTATCTAGCTAGAATTCTCTCAACTTATGGACTATGGAAGTTGGTTGTAATTGAATTATAGAAGCTAAGGTAAAAGCTAGGATGTTTGGACTATCTACTACCCCTCCATTTTAAATTATATATAACTCATTCTAACTTTTTTTGAAGAGTCAAAGCATCTAATACCAAATAAATATCATTAGATTTTTTATTAATTATATTGAAGGAATCTTGTGGCATCCAAATAGATTCAAAATTGATGTGTATGTTTCTTCTATTTTTATTATCCCAATGTATTGATCGGATCAAGACAAATCTCTGCATCCATAAACACAATATTCTCTTCGTCCCCAAATTATTTAACTTTTAGAGTAGTCCTAAGTATAATGTAAAATAGATTTATAGTATAATCATATTGATTTTGTGTCATAAAGCATTGGTGTTTTCAGTAAATTTGGTCAAATCTATAAAAGTTTGATTGATGAAAATTATAGAATTTAATTTATTTGAGAACCGAGGGAGTAGTTTGTTACCATCATGCATCTACAAGACACTGTTTTTAGACACCATACATACCTAGAGTTGATGATCCCACCAGTTATGCTTTATTGGGACAATATTTGAATGTTACATTTGTATTCTTTTTTTCGGATCCCAAGTAGTAACAAAAACTCATAACCGAGCATTGTGGTGGTGCACAAGCTATTGTCTTCTTTCACCTAAGGGTCAGTTTTGGCATAGCGTCCAACCCACTTCGCCCGCTCCAGCTCCAGCTCCCCACTAGTTCCACACCTGTTTGGTGGAGCTCCCTCAACAACTCCCACTCCTAACCCACTAGAGGAAGAGGGGAAAGCTATGAAGGTGCAAGGAGACGGCACAAGAAGGAGGACAACGACATGCTCGGTCTCAGTGACAACGACGATGACAGGTTGAATCTTGATGAGCTCGGCGATAGAGAGGAGCTGCCCGACGAAGAATAGGGATGAAAACGGTCGGGAACGGTCGGGAAAATGTCTTAACCATTCCCACTCCTGTATTTTTTTGCCGGGAACGGAAACGGGAACGGGAAGGCCGGACGGGAAAACAAAACCGGTATTACGGGATATCGGGAACGGAATATTTCGAACGGGAACGTGTCGATTATGATCGGGAAGTGGTAACGCAGAACGGGAACCGCCGCTAGCCCCTTCCTTTCCCATGGCCGGCCGGGGGTAGCGGCGCAGGCGCGCAGCGCTCGGCCGCTCGCAGTCGCTAGGGGCAGCCGAGCAGTCTCGCTCTCGCAGAGAGGCGGAGGCGGCGCCGCACGGGACGGGAGTCGCCGAGTCGGGGACTCGGGGATAGCGGATAGGGTTTGGCCGCCGTTTTTGGGACAGATGGGAGGGAGTAGCGGACGGGAGTGGGCTGGGCCTGTGACGCGGGGGAGCGGGAGGTTTCGTGGGCTGCATCAATCAGTGGGCTGAATATGAGGTTTAGGTGTATAAAATACGGGAATATCGCCGAGAAATTTTCTGCCCGAATATGAGAACCGTGAATACGGTCGAAAAAATTCCTTAACTGATTTCGTTCCCGTTCCTGCCTAAAATACGGTGTCGGTTTCCCGTTTCCTGTTTTTCCTGCAAAAACGGTATGCGATCGGTTAATGCGGTATCCCGTTTTTATCCATAACAAAGAAGAGTGTGGCAAAGGCGGGGGAGGGAGCAACGAAGTGAAGAGAGGCGTGGGGAGGCAAAGAGGAGCGCAATAGTGGAGAGTGGGTTTTTTCCACTCTTGCCCGCATCGCAAAAGAGAAGCGGTGGGAGCGCTTCTCGGGCTGTTACGTGGAGTGACGTCGTTTGGCAGCGCTCCGCCGATCCTCGCAAGAGTGGAGCAAAGGAGTGCTACCAAACTGGGCCTAAAATAGAGAGAAGAGTTCGTTGGCGTATGTCGGTTCTGCATGCATGAGATTTTCCACTAAGAACCTATTGTTAGTAAATGTCTCGTGATTGTAATGTACTTCCCCGATTTTAGAAAGATTGTAATTCTAGATTTAGGGTCAGTCAAATTTTTTAAAGTTTAATCAAATTTATAAAAAATACTATCAATATTTATATCTCTAAATAGGTTTCATACGCAAATATATTTTATAATTAATATAATGATACTTCTTCAAGTCCTAAATGTACTTTTATACATTTTTTGTCAAGCTTAAATACGTTTTACTTATTGGTAAGTGAGAATTGTTTTCTTATGGAGGAAATATGTACAAGCGACAACAATTGGGCAGGCTTCTAGGCCCGCACTGGCAGACCAGAAGGCCGTGTAAACGAACGGAGCAAACACATTGGCAATAGGTGGCAAAATGGGATTTGCCGAATCCACACGGACGCAGCAACCCTCCTGCAAAAGCGTTGAAGATCTACTACTAATAATTAGTGAATAATTTCACCATCTCATTAAGCCATTCTCAGTGGTTTCAGAGTATTGTTTCCAAGCGTGTAATGCTACGAAACATGAATGAAACAATCAGTATCAATATGTAGCACTAAAAAAATACATTTATGCATGACGGTTTACTTTGGTCATAGTAAAGCAAAAAATGCGTCACAGTTAACTCACTATGACGATCGAAAAAACATCATGTATCCTGCGTCATACATTTGTTGGCCCCAATTGAGCCGTCATAGATTGACATTTGAGTTCGTCATGGATTAGTTATCCGTCTATTATACACAGCCCAGATCCAACCATAGTGACAAAAAAGAACATCATCGATTAGTGTGAAATCATCACTGCATTAACATGCAGCACATCTTATAATACACCAATCATACGAACAAACATTGATTCTTTCATTTATTGGCATATCCACTATTCTCACATATAGTTTGAGTATAATCAATTCACAGCCAAACTAACAAGTACATCTGAACTAAGATTTCATCTCTAGGGAGTCTAAAATAAACAAACAATAGTATCCATGACTCCACGAGTACTTCAATTAGCTTTTTGTCCATATGATGTGCTACCAAACAAACTCCAGAAGCTTCCTAAAAATCAATATGAATATGAAATGAGTTAGTTTTGAGCAAACATTTTAAAAACAAATGCCATCTATTTATTAGGATCTTAGTGGAAGACAGAAACAATCAAAGTAGATTGTTCTAGGATTACACTAGTCAAAATCTGTGTTAACTAATAAAACTGATAGTTGTAGCTTCTAGGATTGCACTAGTCAAAATCTGTGCTAACTAATAAAACTGATGGTTGAGTCGTGTGCTCTTGAAGTGATCCAAGCAATCTCTGATGGCCTTCTCAATGTTTCTGATGTTTGTAATTAGAGTCGACGTATCCGGATGTGGTTTGAACTTTGCTAATATCTCAGCCTGTCCAAAATTACTAATCAGATAGGAAGTTGCAGTATAATATCAGCTTAAATGTAGTTTCTCTTTTTCCCACCGGTGTCTAATCAAAATCACAAAGCTACCATAAAATAAGTGATATAGAAGTAAACTCATGTAAAATGAGAAGGCTGTGGACAGCATATGCTCAAAAGGATATTTGGGACTAACAGAACAAAGCTATGTCAGTAAACTCTGTTTGAAACTGTTTGTGCATCGAAGATACCTCTTCTTTTGAGTGAACATGAGACTTGTGAGTTTCATTCAACTGCTTTGCATCTTTGTCATAGTCGTTGGCCAACACAGATATAAGCCTACGCAGTGTCTTCCTCTTGAACAGAAATATCACGGAGACACCCTTCTTGTTTAAATAACTAACTATACCTTTAGGATTTTCCAAGATTCCCTACGAAAACACAATGTTGGAAGTTATGGCCAGGCACATATTTAACATACGGTAGGCGTAAGCTAACTCCAATCATTCTGATAAAAATGAGCAGGGCAAGTTTTAACATGGATCATAATTGTTAAGTGTCAACGAGCTTGGATGGTGAATTTTGCTTATCACAGAGTTTTAAGTTTTAAGAACTACAACCTATAGGCATGTTAGTACTTGGCAGTTGGCACATAGCCACATAGGCCATAGCTTTGAGAAAAACATCCATATATGCAGTATGATAGAGTTGAATCATAGCTATAATTATTGCAGAATCCAAACTTTGATAAGGAAAATAGATCATATAAAGGACTACAACCTGTAGGCATGTTAGTACTTGGTAGTTGGCACATAGCCACATAGGCAGCAACAGTAATAATTCATCTAAAGCTAGAGATCAGATGCATAATGGAGCCGATAGCTGGACAAGATAGTAACAAGCACCTCCCAGAAGCACTTTGGTCAGACATTCATATCTGAATAAACAATGAATTTATGAAATAGGTGAGCTCCATGCAATTGACGACTACAATAATTATAAGTATACGCAAAACTAGATCCCAAATCAATATACCCAAAACTACGACAGCTAAAAATTCAAGAAGACCACAAATATGACAGCGTCCCAACACTAACACGGATCTAAGAGGCAACCCTAACCCCATATCTCCAATCAATATACCTGAATTCGATTCACGCATTAGTGCTATGCCCTGGAAATCGCAGCAACCTAGCGCGGCTAGCACAACACGGCCATGGCGCAGCGTGCGGCCAGCGGTTCGGAGAGGAAGCAAGTGAGGCAGCGACCGAGAGATCTGGACTACTCATACCTTGATGTCGCCGTTGTTCATAGATAGATGCAGACCTAGCGGACGACGACCCACATCCTCCTCCACGAGATCCGACGACCGCATCACTAGGGCGTCGTCATGTCGAGGCTGTCCTATTGCTTGCGCGGCGGCATCGGCTGCCCGTGCCTCGAGGCTCGTCGGGTTTTGGAGGGTTGCAACCTGCTGCCCACCGGGGCGTGGCCCTCGCCCGTTGGGGGTGCGGCCTCTAGCCTGCCGGGACGCGGCCCTCCGCCGCCGGGGCTCGGCCTCCTGCCTGGATCCGACGACTGGGAAGGGGGTGAACGGTGGATGCGGGTGGCGACGGATGGGAAAGGGGGTGCGGTACATTAATACGTGTGGATGTGGGAGGGAGGCTGGTGGATTAGGTTTAGGAATTTGCTTTCCTTTATAATTTTTTTATTACCCACAAACCCGTCATAGTTTTACCATAGAGTTGCCTAAATAATCTGTGACGTCCAACCATGACGACAACTTAACCAATTGTCATAGATCTATCACCTCAAGAATGAACCGTCACAGACGACAACATTTTATGGTGATTTCTTAAAAGGTCACTGGTGAACCGTCATATATAAGGGTATTTCTTGTAGTGTAGTTTTATTCTTTTGTTTCATAGATATTTATTAATTTTATGAGTCGTGAGTTGGTAATGACCTGAGTCAGAGAACTTTATCTATATAAAACTCAGATCTTTTCTCTCTTCTTAAAAGAATTTCTACATCAATAGAAAAATGTTTATGTAGCAACTTTATTAAATATAAATAAAACTCCCACAATATAAACTTCAGAGCCAAGAAGGAAATAGGAATGGCGTTGCCTTGCGCGTGCGTATTGGTCTCAAATAGGCAAAGCGTCATGTGCAAGCCATCTACAAAAACTTGCCCCGCTGCTTACAAGGAAAGAAGATTATAGGAGTAGAAACGTGTGCGCATGTTTATTGTTTTGAAACGAAAAATAAAGAAATGGAAACCTCGAAGGAAGTTTTTGTGCATTTTTTTTGTTGGGAAGCTTATACTTTTCGGAAGGAAATTTAAAATCGAGCAGACCATCGATCATGGATGGTGACTTTTGACAAGTTACGGCAAGGGGCTTTTTCTAGTTTCTGTTTTTGGAACAAGGGCTGTGACTGACTGACTGTGTGACGTGGAATCTATTGTTGGTGATGAAATCAGGCATAGCACTCCACATGCTTTCTGTGTTCGTCTTCTCTATCTTCTATGGTCTTTGCAACCACAAATTTAATGTCAATGACTCAATGTTGTGGATGCTGTTGTAGCCAAGGCCTATAAGCGCCGCAATAGGAAGCCGGTGACGCCGGAGTTGTCCACAACAAATGGCTGAAATGCAACGTGTTTTTAGTTCAGTTTGTTAGGCTCTGCATGCATGTAGATTAGTTGGAAAGAAGAGAGTAATTTGTGAATATTAGTTGGCCAATGGCTATGTCCTTATAAACACTCGGCTAGTCGGCTGAGGAAGTCAAGCAATCAATAATTCCTGTTTATTCCGCTGTTCAGAGTCTCCTAGCGGAGGGCAAGCATTTTTTTCGAGAACACAACTTCACATGTATTTCATTAAGAAGAAGAAGCAAATTACATTCCTAAATCATCCATAGTGAGATGCCATAGATGAGTAGGAAACTGACTGAGTGCTGAAAACAGAAAGAAGAACACACCATGGCTTGCTAAAGGCTACATTGCAACGGATTATGCGACAAAGCTCCCTTTGGTAAACTTTATCTTATAAAAGTCCAAGTCCTTACACCCATTTGCAATTATAGATGGCTAGGGCGACACTAGGCATGACCCGAAAAAGCACGGTCCTAGCACGACCCCGCACGAAAGTCCATAGTGCCAGTGCCGGCAAGAGCATGACCACCCGTAGTGATGGCACAGGCATGCCACGATTAGTGGGGCCGACACTATTCTGGGCCGATCCTTCACAACCCTAGATATAAATGGCCTCCTCCATCTCCACCTATTCTCAATCTTCCGTCTCATCTGTTTGTCGACGCCTTCTCCCAACTCGGGAGTCACGGACGTGCTCTGGATCCACACGATGTTGCCCGGCCTCCGCCTCCCTCCCTCCACCCCACCGATCCACATGATGCCGCTCGACCTCCACCACCCCACCTCAATTGGATGCCTGTCTTGCTTAGTGCCGGGGACCAATACTAGGGTACCCGAAGAGGAGGGGCTAATGGTCGTTAAACGTTAATTCATCCCGACAGTCAAGGGCGTGACTACAACTCCAACCGACCCCCAGATACGCAGTCTCCGCCTCGCCCGACCTCTGGTCACGGACTCCGCCTCGCCCGACCTCTGGTCACGGACTCCGCCTCGCCCGACACCGAGGCCGCAGGCTCTGCCTCGCCCAACGTCTGGGGGCTGGCTTCACCTCGCCCGATGTCTAAAGGCAGGCTCCGCCTCGCCCGACCTCTAGTCGCGGACTCCACCTCGCCCGACCCCAAGGTCGTAGGCTCCGCCTCGCCCGATGTCTAAGGGCTGGCTCCGCCTCGCCCGATCTCTGGTCATGGACTCCGCCTCACTTGACCCCAAGGTCATGCGATCCGCCTCGCCCGACCTCTGGGGATAGGCTCCACCTCGCCCGACACCGAGGCCGTTGGCTCTGCCTCGCCCGACATCTAAGGGCTGGCTCTACCTCGCCCAACGTCTGAGGGCGGGCCCTGTCTCGCTCGACCTCTGAGGGCTGGCTCCGCCTCGCCCAACGTCTAAGGGCGGGCCCTGTCTCGCCCGACCTCTGAGGGTGGGCTCTGCCTCGCCCGACCCGGGGGCCGTGGGCTCCGCCTCGCCCGACCCCTGAGGGCTAGCTCCGCCTCGCCCGACCCCGAGGCTGGTGAATCCGTTTCGTCCGACGGAGACCCATACCACCGCCAACCACTCCAGGTCCAATCGTATGGGCCTGGGTCAAAGCTCTAACACCCAGGAAGAGACCGACACGCCCCGATACAACCCGTGGCCATGACAGGCCATGCCTGGGGACTCACATCAGGAACAGCATTGGGCGTACCAGTGCTGTTCTGCCTAACCCCTATACGAACACTGAAAGGCACGTCGGTTCACCACGACGTCGACGTCCGCTAGGATGGAGTGGAGCGCCATGATCGGCAGACGATGCCTGCACATGGCGCTAGTGACAGACAGGGCCACGACGTGGAGCTATCCCTGTTGATGTCTATAGGGTCGGTGGGACCTGCATGAAGGAGAAGAAGCACTCAGTGACCCTGGAGGACTTTTTCTCCCCCTCATTCTTCTCTCTCCTTCCACTATAACCCGTGCTTTCTCTTGGCCTATAAAAAGGAAAGCAGGGTGCCTCAATAGGGGGCATCGGACAAGAACTCAATTGCAACCATTCGAACCCAATCAATTCATCAAACCCCGAACACACAGCCGAGCAGCGACCGAGCCCTCGGCACCCGTTCACTTTTTTGACTAGAGACTTGGGACCTGTCCCTCTCTCGCCCGTTTGTAACCCCTACTACAAATTTTCAATGCTAGTAACATGAGCAGCGGCGACGAACTAGACGTAGCGACATTCTACTTGGACTAGTATAAACCTCATGTCCTCTTAGCACACCATCCGAGCAAGACACGCAATATTAGAAATTTACTAGTTGGTGTTTACTCAAAACACCGATAGTTGGCGCGCCAGGTAGGGGCCTTTTGCGCGTCTCGACATCGACACCAGGCCTCGGATGACTAGTCACAACGTCAGCTAGGTCCCGGGCGCATACGTGTGTTTTGGGGATCTAGACTTCATCGTCACGACGGAGGGAGAGCTAGTGCGGGCTCCCGTTGCCATCCAACCTCTCCACTTCTCCGGCTTTGACGTGATCACTGAGGCGCTTGAAGAGCTACAGCTGTATGCACCGGAGGCCCACACCCCCAGGAGTGGCCAGCTCCTCGACTTTGGCTACGAGAGGTTGGAGCGCTAGCTCGGCGTCTTCCTGGGACCTTGACCGTCCTAGGAGGACCTGTGCCACCTCGCCTTTTCGTTCACCAATGTCATGGCGCGGCTTGCCGAAGGAGAGTTTCTCTCCCTAGAATACCTCATCCGAAGCGCCTCGACAGCGTTCCCGTTAGGTCTACGCAATGCTGCAGAGACCGTTGGCCACTGTCGATGTTTTGAGTAAACACCAACGAGTAAATTTGTGTTATTGTGCGCCTGACCCGGATGGTGTACTAAAAGACACAAGGTTTATACTGGTTCAGGCAGAATGTCCCTACATCCAGTTTGTGACTGCTGCTCATGTTATTAGCACTGAAAAGTTCATAGTAGAGGTTACAAATGGGTGAGAGAGGGACAAGTCCCAAGTCTCTAATGGAAAGGTCAAATGGCTGTCGAGAGCTTGGTTGCTGCTCAGCTATGTGTGATGTGATGCGTGATGTGTTTTTTCGATCCCCTTAGCGGGGTGCCTTGCCTTCCCTTTTATAGACCAAGCGGAAGCAGGGATTACAGATGGGAGAAAGAAGAAAAACTAGAGACAAAGGAGGTCCTTTAAAGATGTCGGGTCTTCCTTTTCCTCTGAGCGAGCCCCGCTGACACGGCAGACGGTGCCAGGGATAGCTCCATGCTGGGTGCATGTCCACTGATCCTGATAGGGCCGCGCTGGGTGTTTGTCTGCTGATGATGCCATGTTCTGGCTTTGTCAGCAAGTGGTCACGTCCCATCCCGCCCCGGTGGGCCGTGCGACGGACCAGGGTGCTAATCTGCGACCCTACGGGGAGCAGACGGTGCAGTGACCACACGTCCGTTACTGTAGATGATGTGAGTTTCCTCCTGGACTGTAGTGGTTGTGGAAGCGCCCACAACACTGTAAGACAAATGTTGGCGCCTACAACACTGTTCAGGCTCTGACATACCTGGAAGGGCTTAAAGCGCCCGTCTTGTCATATCCTGATGGTACTTTCCTATAGGCGTGTCGGGTATGGTCCTCGGTATTGCGATTGACTTGAGTGCCCTGCCTTATCTGCGTGCGTAGTTATAAAGGAGCAGCGCACAGACGTCAGGCGAGGGGGAGCCCAACCCCTAGGCGTCAAGCGTGGCGGAGCTAGCCCCCGGACATCGGGCGAGGAGGAGCCAGCCCTCGGACGTCGAGCGAGGCGGAGCTAGCCCCTGGGGGTTGGGCGAGGCAGAGTTTGCCCTCAGACGTTGGGCGAGGCGGAGCCAGCCCTCAAGAGTCAGCTTGCGGTGGGGCCCATTGTCTCGGTGGACAGATGAGGAGTAACCCGACAAGCGGTGTACTCGTGCTCTCGATCGCGTGGATGAATCAATGTTTGACGGTCATTAGCTCCTCCTCTTCGGGTACC